TCTGTCTGATGTGGCTTGCCTCATCCATTTTTTTCACATGTCCAAGGCTACGAGTAATTTGTGCCTTCTGCAAGACAAGGTTGTCTGCAAGAATCCGAATGACACATTTCCCTCTACTTTATTAAGATACTTTGGTCTAGTGGCACGTATTTGATGTAGCCCATTAAACACAAGGCGAAGATGCTCTTCAGATATCATCTGGGGGGGGGGGGGGAGTGACAATAATTAAGAAGAGTCTGCGCAGACTGACATTTACCCAGTAAGATGCAATGATAACCATGCACCACTGCTACGTAGCATATATGCAGGCAAGTGGAACGTTTGGTTGACAAACAAAATGATTAAAGTGCTGTAAGTTCACACGCTATTAAACTGAATATTGGTGACGTATTTACTCTGAAAGAATCTGTGGCCAACAAACACATTATGACAGAAAACGTGTCCATGCATTTTGTGATTTTGTGGGATGCATGATGCACATGTGGTAATGTGATCTTAAGAACAAACCATGTTATCACTCCTGCTACATGTAAATGAAAACATGATAGGGTTTTATAATTGATAGTTTTGAATACAAAAGAAAAAAAAAGAATTTTAAAAAAACTTGTAAAAAAATAAAAATATAGAAAAATACATGGTCGTGCACATATTTATTGAGTGAAAAATTGATACGAATATAATAAAAGGAATAGTGAATGTGTTTTGCAAATGGACCCATTGATTATTAGAGGCAAGTAACAGCTCTTCACAGTAATAAAGGCAATGCCCCCGGTAGAAATTTTTGCATGCAGAGCCAAAAAAATAAAAGTGAGATGAAAATACTTTTAAAAATTTTAATTTAATTTTGGGTGAAACAAGTTACTAAAAATTGGTCCCAAGAATCATCATTCCAAATTAGTTAGTGATCCTGTGAACAGCCTATGCATAAACAAATGTTTACTGCTAATGAATGTCACATAATGATTTATAGTTTTTGATTTACTTGCATTTTTTTAGATGCCAAGCGAAAAAGTGTTTATTGCTTAAATTTTTGCAGGGTGGCATTGAAATTCCATGTTAATGCTGCAAACCCATTAATAACTTATAACTAACTGCATATGCTTTTTAAGGCAATTATATTTCTTTTTTATGGAGCACTAAATTGTTAACAGGAAATTATCCTTTTCTAATAGCATTCACTGCAAAATCAATTTTCTGAGTAAATTTTACATTTTTTATGAGATGAAATTTTATTGCCAACCACTCTTGTATTTCAGAAGGTTTCAATATTTTGTCACTGGCTTTACTTTTATGTTTGAGACATGTGGCATAGTTGAATCATAGTGCTAAATTAAATTAGTTATTTGATTTGCTTTATTGTGATAGATAAAAACTCATTTGCCTTGCCTCCATTGTTTATTTTGAAATAAAAAAATTGACTCTGTGAAACAGCAGCCCTCATACCCATGATGCAAAAATGGTTTAGTATTCCCTTCAGGTTATTTTGATGATGTTATACTGGCCAAAAGAAGAAATTTCAAGTTTTTATTTTGACCATGGTGCTTCTAAATGCTTAAATATGTACATGTTAGATGGAACAGAACTTAACAGACATGATCTTTTCCACCCAAAATTGATACTAATAAAATATTATAACAAGTATTTTTTCCTTGTTAGAAATAAGTTATAAGAATTGACATTAGGCACAGTCAAATTAAAGAAGCCAACCTTTCAAGACTGACATAAGGACTTTAGTCTTCCATTATTTTGTAGAAGCATCTCAATGTACATTTGGAGACATTGTGTAGTCATTTCCCATTAACAAATAGGTATCTCTGTAAAAACAGAAGATGGATCAGAAGTGATGGTCACCAGCTATCATTTCATAGGAGAGAACACATTTTCTAATGCTCATTGATGTGATCAGCTAGAATACAGAGACAGAGATCCTTGAAACTGTTTTAGTGTCATTTTTGTTTTGTAAGACCAGTCATGTTCTAATATTATCATCGGTAAAGGTGCTATAAAAAGTGTTAATTAAGCTGATTCAAAGGATGCCTTGGTCATAAGTTCCATCACATCAGGGCTGGGCAGTGAGTATGAGGTAAGGGGAGGAGGGGGGGGGGGGGGGGCTCNTGTCTGTACATTTGACAGCTTTGCTGCCTTGTTTATGAGATGAAATTTTCTTGCCAACCACTGGCTTTACTTTTATGTTTGAGACGTGGCATAGATTCATAGTGCTAAATTAAATTAGTTACTTGATTTGCTTTATTGTGATAGATAAAAACTCATTTGCCTTGCCTCCATTGTTTATTTTGAAATAAAAAATTGACTCTGTGAAACAGCAGCACTCATACCCATGATGCAAAAATGGTTTAGTATTCCCTTCAGGTTATTTTGATAATATTATACTGGCCAAAAGAAGAAATTTCAAGTTTTTATTTTGACCATGATGGTGCTTCTAAATGCTTAAATATGCACATGTTAGATGGAACAGAACTTAACAGCCATGATCTTTTCCACCCGAAATTGATACTAATAAAATATTGTAACAGGTATTTTTTCCTTGTTAGAAATGATTATAAGAATTGACATTAGGCACAGTCAAATTAAAGAAGCCAACCTTTCAAGACTGACATAAGGACTTTAGTCTGCCATTATTTTGTAGAAGCATCTCAATGTACATTTGGAAACATTGTGCAGTCATTTCCCATTAACAAATAGGTATCTCTGTAAAAACAGAAGATGGATCAGAAGTGATGGTCACCAGCTATCATTTCATAGGAGAGAACACATTTTCTAATGCTCATTGATGTCATCAGCTAGAATACAGAGACAGAGATCCTTGAAACTGTTTTAGTGTCATTTTCGTTTTGTAAGACCAGTCATGTTCTAATATTATCATCGGTAAAGGTGCTATAAAAAGTGTTAATTAAGCTGATTCAAAGGATGCCTTGGTCATAAGTTCCATCACATCAGGGCTGGTAAGGGGAGGAGGGGGGGGGGTCATGGACTGGTAACACTAACCATAGTTCACAGGTCTTTACCTGTCATCTACACCATTCCAGATATGATCTTCTTTGAGCAGAGTGGGATCAGAAATAATGGCAGACCAGTTTGCAAAACAATACAAAATTCACAAAGGTTTGCAGGTCACTTTTGTATTGCTTTCTAGGACAATATTTCAGACGCATAGATTTTTACCCGTATCACCAGGGAATCATATATTAATTCCCTGGTATCACCTACTGAAAAGTTAACCCTACTTTTTCAAGTTTGTTTGATGTTACACACTGCTTTTAGCCTCTATCTAGGCTGTTTCGAAGAATGCCCATTGGTGAAGTAGACATAAGAGGGCATCAACTGTCCCAGGTTCTTGGCAGAAAAGTTACTTGTTGCTTTACAAGGTCATCTGCTATTATCCACAGCTAAGGGTATTACAAGCATTATAGTAGCAAAATCACTAACACATGTAATACATGTATTTGCATAACAAAACATTTTTGTTTCAATTTCACTTGTTTATTTCACATTCTTTCTATGGTCAAGCTTATCCAGTCAAATACTTTTTTCTTCAGAATCAAAGTAATAATTTGCCTAAACAAAACCCACCTTTCCTAGAAACATTTGACAAAGCAGACAATCTGGTGACCTTTCAATTAACACCTGGAATAATTACTTTAATTATAAAGTGTCCAATGTTTTTCCTTTATTTCACTTGATTAGAAGTACTGGTAATGAACGATATTATGGATGATTAAAATTGTATGTATTTTTCTGTACACTTTAAAGCTTGAAAAAATAAATACCAAACAATAAAAATATAGTTTACTATTACGTTAACTAAGCAGCTCAATGATTTGTAAGAGTTCAAAGACAAACTCTCCTTTACTGCTTAACTCCAACTTTTAACGGAAAATGCAAAGCATCCAAACTTCAAAGTGACTTTCTAAATGTAAAATAACAACTGTAAATTCCCAATATTTTGTGTATAAAACCAAAAAGTAAAATGACAAAACAAACAAAATGACATGGTTACAATACAACACTAGGACTATAATGCATGGATTAACAATTATGCTTTAGTATCCATTTACCAGTCAAAAAGAACATAAACAGTATTCTTGTATTCAACTGAACCATGGTTATGGCCAAAGTTGGCATCATGATAATCATAAATGAAAGATTCTATGTTGCATAGTAGCTACATAAAATGTTTATCAACAAAAGGGCCCTGAAGTTCTGTACCAAAAGTTATGGCAAAATCCAATAACAAAAATGTTTCAAGGACAAACATTATTTACTGTATCTCAAAGGGGTGCAACTGGGTGGCATGTGTCACAAAATTTCTGCTAATGAAATGAAATGCTGTCTTGATGATAATATATTATGCTGCATTGCAAACAAAGAAAACAGGTTACCCTAAATTTGACAAAGAAGTGGAAAAGTGACAAGCCCAAAATTCAGTTACATTTTTAAAAGAGCTAACAACTGTATGTATAAAATTCATGTTTCACAATACAAACATTGTAAACGACTCATAGAAATATAATGAACTTCGTTTTACCACCAAAACAGCAGTTATTGCAATTATTCTGAAATCTGCGCTTGCCATCAGACCATATGTAGCTTTATAGATGGCTAAGTCTCAGTAATAATCTCTTATTACAAGATTACAAAAAGAAAAAAAAAAAAAACTTTTTAGAAATAAAAACATGGACTAGCTTTGAATGTCAAAATGGATTCATTAACCATTAGTAAGTATGGGGAAATCATTGTTTACCCCAGGAAAATCCATTTTTTGACCAAAACAAACAGTTGTTATCCCTTTAATTAGATGACAGTTTCCTTTGCACTTAAGATCTAACTTGCTCTCTCAACTGTGACCAAAAATGCTTTCCAGTATTTATTGTTTGTTTAATTTAGACCTCACAAAATATATTAACAAATATATTATATTTGCTAAATTAAAAATGATGCATCAAAATTAATAAATAAAACAGAAAATGTGGTCTTAAATAATCAGGAATCACTTAGCCTTGCAAAAATGACTCATAAAACCAATAAATACAATTTTCAGTATCAAATATGTCACTATATCAACAAAAACAGGAAAAAAGAATGTAAATGCAGCACACAGAAGTACTCACATAAGTACATAACTGAAGCAGAAAAACAAAGCAATTCCAAATATCCGTTACAAATTTTATTCTTCACTGACCTTCCTCATGCACTGCATGAGCACCACTTACGTCATATGTACAGAGTTTACACTTAGTATTTACATATACTACACTTACTGTGGCCAATCCAAATCCAACACTTTAAGAATGGGCAAGAAGCAAAAGAATCTTTATGAATTGATGTAATTAAATGTTAATATATTGAAGTCATCTTAAAAAATACATAACAGAAAGAAAGTATAAATGTATGCAGCACTATAATAATAGTAATAAAATCTGATATCAGACTCAGCTGTGTAGATAAATTAAACTAAGTATACAACCTCATAAATAATGAAGTCCTTAGTTTTCTTACATTTTTTTACAGTATGGAGAAGTAAAAATCTTGTAAGTGACCTAGTGATAAAAATCAAAACAATTTCTTCCATATTACAAGTGCATGACTGTCTCCAGACTGAATGGTCTATTAAATGGACATATAACCATTCCAGTATGGGTAATAATTTGGAAGCAGCACACAATTATATGTATTATTCAGCCTTGCACCTAAAGGCCTTTTCCATTTTTTAAATCCATAACAATGGTTTTGTTGAACCTGTATATTCTATAGTGGTATTTACAACTAGACGTCTGGTACACTCATGGTTGTTGTCAGTCACTGTCCTCTGGTCTTACAAAATTTTCTGAATATTTTGTCCTGACACCAACCAATTCCAGTAGTTGCCTGTCTGGAGTCTCAGCCCAGGATTCTAGATTCAGCTGTACAAAAACAAAGAAAACCATCTTGAACAACAACAAAAGATAGATCTAGGATCCAATATCAATCAATAGATTGTCTAATCGTCTTGCAAAAGAAAATTTGCAGTAATTTTTTTAATCAAAATTTTTATGTTTTTTTTAAAGAAACAATCACATGCTCCATAATCAAATGTTACCAGAAATTGTATATCTGCACAATAATGTTGGAACATGTGAACAATGTGTACCTTTCTTTGGGAAAGTTTCTCAGCTTCTTTCTTTTCCCAGGCACGCTGTTTGAGCTGAGCTTGTTTCATGGCTATACCTGCACAACCCCATACCTGAAGAAAATGACAATAAAGTTTCACATTTAAAATCTATCTTTAGACAGACTTCTTTCTTTTTTGTTTGAAGGCAAGTTGATACATTTTGCTGGAAGTATGAATTGTTTAACAGAGAAATGTGAGGTGGTATTTTCGTACTATAAATCGTCTCCAAGGACAAGTGCAGTTAAGTCCAGCATGGAACCCTACAGAGTACACCAGAGCTGGTATGACATATCCTGCTGCATAATTAACATCACTGTTTATGTTATTACCTTAACTGCTTCACCTGAAGGGGTTGTATTTACCACTTAAAACTGCATCAAATTTAAGCTTATTACATTGCACATTCTAAAAGTTCATGCCAACCTCTCTAGGGTGCCACATAATTCATTCTCTAATGTTCTGACAGGTGGCAAACCAGTACTTGTTTAATTTGGTCAAAAGTATTGAACTGTAATTTTTTATTATGTAATTTTGTAAAATTGTAATTGCTATTTTCCACAGAAGCTGCTCATATCACTAGGCCTAATGATATCAGACCTACCCAACTACCAGACTTGGCACCGAATGACCCTGAATTCTCTGGTAGATCAGACCACACTACCCGTTTTGAAGATGTTTGCATTACGTGCCTCAAAGTATCAGATGCAACACCGCTCTTGCCTAGTACGCGATGTGATAGTGATGATTATGAGCAGGGTTGGAAAGTAGTGCATCTCATCTAAAGATTTGTTCTAGGGTATGATACTGTTAAATGTGTACTGACGCACACCTTGAAAACAGGTGGTGTGGTCCGATCTCCCAGTGAATTTGGGATCATTCGTTGCCGTATCTGGTAGTTGGGTAGGCCTGGATATGCATCTTGACAGAATCAGTAAAAGTCATCTCTAAGTGCAAATACATTATTATATGTAATTTTGGGGAAAAAATTAGATAAGTGCTCTTTACTGCTCACATGTACCTGTATCGTTTGTCATGCTGTGTACCCATAAAGAAAACTTAACACTCCTGCACAATAGGCTGATGTATGAAAGATTTGAGTAATCTCCATTAAGCAAACCTAGGAGACACTGAAAGCTTGAATTTCCTTTCTTGGATTATGCAATCTCAAAAACATTGTTTTCCAGAATCAGAAGATACAAATTATTACTGACAAAAACTGCTTCATACCACTTTTAAACTATTACTATCTAAAGAGCCCATTATCAAACTGCCTAAATGATAGCCCATGTCTAACTAGAACAAAAAGATAAACATTAAATAAGAATCTTGAAAAAATAAAATTTTAATTATTTGTTACCTTTATGTAATTTTGATCTTTTTATAACAGTTGTTGCTCGATCAAATGATTAAGAAAATAATTTGAACAGTTCAATTTACTTACCTCTATCCTTACTGTTGCAGCTTCTCTGCCATAGTTTTTTACTTTAGACAATCCATCACAGATTTCTAGCACCAGAGATTTGTGGTTTTGTCCCACCTGTATTCCATAGGGAAGTCCACGCGTACTGCTGTTCACAAACATCATTTTTTCACCACCTGCAATCATGAAAGAACAAATTATGGAAAAATCCGAATATAATTACAAGCCAAGAACTTAAATTCTCTTCTCTCCCAACCCTCATCCCAATTATATAATATATATATATTATATATTATATAATAACAAAAATATAATAAATAAAAAATTAAAAATAAATTAATTAATTAAAGTACTGGCAGCAAATATTCCTATATTGTAAGCAACATGAATCAAGTCAGATTACCCAAATACTAAGATATTTCAGGGCCAGGCAGGGGGATTTGACATGCTAATGTCTAGATGAAAAACTAAGCATACAAAGTGAAAAGATCACTATCACTTGTGCCTCGATGCAGTGAAACACATGGTTTGGACACTTATGATAATTTTTGTTTTAACCCATCCCCCAATATACAAGGTGTGAGAAGATATATTTTCAATGGCAATTCTTCTTCGTTTATGTCTTGTTTAAGAGATACATTAAATTGCACCAAATTATGAAAAAAATTACATACATGTACAGGTAGCTTTTTGTGAATTTGGTGCTCTATCATAAAAACAAACTGCCTTTAAGGACTTCAGGAAAATGGGAAAACACTTGGACAAAATAAAAACTATTATAAGCTTCAGTTTCAATACTGACCTTGAAGCATATTAAAGTGAGGCAAGACTTGGAGGACCATGCAGTCTGATCCTCCCCATCGCTGATCACTCTCTCTAGGAAGAAATAATAGCCAATAATTTTTCATCATTCTTTACTTGAACAACATGCTGTAGCTTTCAGACATGTTGAAAAGTATTATGATTGCTTAAATAAGTTAACATTACTATTATACGATCATGAACTAACAGTCATATAGAACTCACTTCCACTCTTCATCAGCAGCTATACAGTACACATTCTTGCCCTCAAATGACAATAGAGTTATGGTGGGACCCTTATAGGAAAACACATGGTTTTGGAACCTAAAGAGCATATAAATTGCATTTTCAAATAATTCTCGCATAAATATTTATCATGCATTCTTTTAAAAAATATATTTATCAAAAAGTTGTAACTGAAACTATCACATTTGTCAAACTGTGCATGAGGTTTTGAGGAAAAGTACCAGCACTGTGATTATTATCATCTTACATATATAATTGTGCCTTTTGTAAATGGGGCATTCCACTGTGCATTTCCCAATATTTCAGTATTTCTAATCCCAGGAGAATATAAAGAAAATTAGCCATACTGCACCTTATCTTTACTTTCTAGAATTGAATGATGTGAAGTTTTACAAAAAAGAAAAAATGCTGTAAGGGGGGATACTGTGGAATTGCCTTTGGTATATGCCTATATGATCAATATGTTAACATCATGATAAAATTGCATACAAAAATGTACCTGTTAAAGCTAAGCCCATGTTCACTACTGTTATATAGCTCCGTCCAGTTTTGAATTTTGGTGACATGTACCTATGTAGAAAATAATACGTTTTGAGCCTCCGCATGAGAAAAGATTTTCTTAAATTTAACTCCTTTCTGTGAAATGTTCTCCAACTGTTAAAAAATTTCAAACAATACATGAGCAATTTTGAAACAAGGACTTCATGGCTTTGAAAAAATGTAGGAAGTTATTTTAATAAAATCTAAAGTCATGAAACTGTTAAGTTTACTCACCAGTTTATTCATTAGAGCAACTGGTGACATTTGGAGATCCATGATATTGGCATGTTTGGAGAGATAGCACTGTGGCAGGACGCAGGACAGGGCCCACAGTGTAGACAAGGTCAGGAGGCCATGCTTAGCCAGCATTTCATTCAAATCTGAGGGAGGAGTCTCATGCTGAAAGTTGGAACAAAATAATACTGCATATAAAATGTTGTTGAAAATAATAGTACTATATGTAAAGCAGAATATATGCACCTTTGGTACAGTACAAAGTAATCAGAATATAGCAAAAGTAGCATATACATGTACATGTATCTGAAAACTCATCAGTTTGGCCACCCTTAAAAAATAACTTGTTTCACTACTTTGGATGCTGTGGATCCCAGCAGTAGGTAACATGTGCAACCCAGCCTGAGTTATCAGGAACTATTATTGCATCGAAAACAAAATGTCCAAAATAGATGGTGGCACTCAAGACAAACACTAGACGGGACATTTTATCAACTGCATGTTCATTTAGCAACTACTTTTCTTTGCTTTTTCTCAGACAAAACTGAATGAAATATTATTAGACAATGAAACTGTGCAGAAAATATTAAATTATATTTAGGCTGGCCACTGGGATAACGCTAAATTATAGTTATTCCACACATTCATTATCCATAACTATCATCACCGGGCATTGACCTAAGGCTCCGCCTGTAACTCATGCTGTAAGTGGTTGTTATGCTTGTTCAGTTACCTCATTGTGGTTTCTTATATGAACATTGCACTGGTCACACCAGACAGTACAATCAATACATGCCAGCAAAGAAAATAAGGTTACTTATCTGTTATATAATTTCAATACCAAAAATATCTAAGTGTTGTCTGAAGAGCTTCTGCAAAAACAGCAGTTTTTGATACAATTAAATGTCTGCTACCATTGCATTTTTCAAAACATGTCAGAATATTTCAGGTTTTTCTAGTCTTTGCCAGCTGTCAACATCTGACCTTCATGCCAGTGTTATGCCTGGGTAATAGGTAACAAATACAAAGGACACATTTTGCTTTTTTACTGCTAATTTCTAAACACAAAAAATCATTTTACATCTGTGTGTGTGTGTGTGTGTGTGTGTGTGTGTGTGTGTGTGTGTGTGTATATATATATATATATATATATTAAATCTTTCCAGATTTATACTTAAAAGTGTTTTCCTTTCTTTGAAAAACCAAGGAGAAAACTTTCAAATCTGAAAATAACTATAGAAGTGGATTTTTTTTGGCAAAAATCTCATTCAAATTATTAAAAGTTGGCTTGCATTCATTAATTTGTATTTATTTTTTATTAATAAGGAAAAGATAAGTGGGGCAGGTAGGCAAGTCAATCCAGAAATATCTTTTGTTACAGAGGAAGTGTTCAATTTTGTACAAAACATTGGGTACGAACCGATTAACAGGTGTTCACATGGCCACTAAATGTACCCCCAACTGAGCTTACGTACTCTAGCCTTCACATTGAACTCCTTGTTTTGCTGGTCTTCACTCTTCATGAGGTAAGTGTAACAAACACCACATGTACAGATACAGGTATCCCCCTTGTATCTGTTGTTCACATATTTCTTTCTCAGGCGTTCACACTTAAACCAATTTGTTCCCTCTTGTTCCACCTCTCATTACAGTGCACTCAGATACAACTATTTGGTGCATAATATACAATGGCCTCAAACCATGCCCCTTTTCAAGCATGTCAATAACCATATAAAGTTCACATGACACTTAGCCATCTCTCTGAAAATTTGAAAATAATAATTTTTTGAGTTTCCTTTCTTATTCACTTATTATATATTTTACATCTAAGGAGTATCATTATTTTCAAAAGGAGACAGATACATGTGACAATAATGACAGGGCATTTTAGAAGGCAATAAACTTATAATGCAAAAATAAAATATACATGAAATAAATGTCATGTTACAAAATGAATTATTCTTAAAAAATAAAAACTCCTTTTCAAAAAGTTAATATCTACTTCAATTTTTAAAATTCTCTGATTGATCTGAAAAACAGACCCTCATAAATCTGGGGAACATATCCAGGCCTAGGGTGACGGTGAAGAGTTAAGACAGCCATAAGCATGCAATTCAAATGCACTTTATCATTATCCTTTTAATGAAGAGCTCAGCAAAAGTAATTTAAATTGTCAACAACAAACTATCAACCACACTTGCATGGTAATTTCTTACTTGTATGAAGTCATTTTGGTGGGACAAAGGGGCAGCAATAAGGACTGGCCTGGAGGACTACAGGTAGCTGTTTAGTAATTAAAAAATAAATTTTGTCACTTAAATGAATACAGACATTAAAAAATCCAAGGCCCAAAAACTTACTATAATTTTGAGAAGCACAATTTTAATTTTATGCAAAATAACTTTTCTACCTGTTAATTTATTTTTATTTTATCTTCAAACTAAGACTCACCAAAAATATAGCATGCTTATAAAACTGCATACATGTATACAGGATACTTGTTTGTTTAGACCATCACAGTTGGCAGCCACTGTTATAACATGTATTATCTCCTAATAATAATGCGTTTGGCCACATGGTGATTGTACTTGTTCACAGTCATTTCGTAGGCTCACGTTTCTTTCTATACACGTGCAAGGTTGTGTGTAAGGTTGAGGGACTAAAATAAGACAGGGGAATAAGTGCTGGTTCTTTGGAAATGTGCAAGTACATGCAACAATGTAAGACTTGATCAATGGGCTGTGAAAAAATGCTATGATTTATTTGCAATAAATGCATAACTGACAAGACATGTATGGAAGTAAATAACCTTTTAGGAGATGGTATCTTACCTGACCAAATATATAATAGTCCCTTCATTGTTTTTTCTTATCATTTTTTGCAATACACACCCTATCTTAGAGAACAGGAAGCTAGAACAAACAAATTCAGAGCAATTTTTACAAGCTCAGCTACTTTTTAAAACTTCACAATACATTTATTTTTATTATGAGGCAATATCTAGAGGCCTTGTCATTTTGTATCATGTCAAAGCCTTTAATTGTGAAGCGGATCATTCATCAAGTTTGTCATCTTTTTTTTTTACTATAATTTCCAATTTTGTAAAAAAAGAAAAAATAAATCCATAATGGAAAATTAATTTTTGATAAAAAAAGATGTTCACACGAGAAAGCCTGTTACATCTCCATTTATAATTTTCATGTCTTTTCCATTGTTTCAGTTTACTGAGACTTTGATAATTAGTAGTGGTACGATGTGTAACTGCCTTGTACTAATAAAAGAACTTAGAGCAAGAGCTTATTTCATCAGTATTAATAACTAAGACTTGATAAAAAAAAACTATAAATCAAGTTCTATTATACTTTTTCAACAAAAATGCAATCGAAGGACTGAAAACCAAGAACCAATGGTAAACAACCATATTATAATTATAGTAATATCAAAAGGTTCTGTACAGCTGTGAGGCACTAGAAATGCATTTAATCAAATCACTTGTGTAATTTGGTGCCTGTATTTACCACCACTAAATTGCTTTCATAGCATGCTAGATGACCATCTTTAGGTTCTGGAAGTAGCCATGTCTGCAAAACTATCTCACACACAATACATGTACTTCCAAAGCCAAAACAAATCTAGTTGTTTTCCAAAACTGATTCAGAATAGTACCAATTCATTTTTTACAAGAAAAAAAAATCAGTCCCTTTCTACCTGTGTTAATATACATCCTGCCTGGTACAAACTATTGGTTTGCTGTGTAAATAGTGCAGGAAATATTAGTGAGATTAACACTAATCATCCAAAAATTACCAATAATTTCTCTTAATTTGCTATAAGCATAAGAAAAACTAGGATTACTTCCACTAGTAGCTATATATTTTATTATCCCTGCAATGGTATATTTTTATGACCAGCTTGGAGCAATGAAATAAATGCATATTCTAAAGGAATGATCAGGTTCTCAAACTTGTAGCTTTCAATAAAGATTTCTAAAACATTTCCGTTGTTTGAAAGGTTGTACTTATTTATCAGGAATACATCATTCAAGACTTATCTTAGGGCAATCATTTTTTAATATATTTGAATATATTATATCTTCATTCATAATTTGACCCCACATTGTTAGTGTTTCTCCATATTTTCCATCCTGGCCCACCATAATATCAGATGTTAAAAATCAAAATCCATAAAATGGGGATAATCTGATAGTCATATTACATGATACAAAATCAATATAGCTACCAAAACAAGAAAGTGAAAAGGTCATGTTAAAAACATGATGTGACCTCACTGAGGCTTCTGCCAAGCAGGCCAAACTAAACAACGCAACAATTTTAACTTTGCAAAGAAAAAAAATGAATGGCCTGCTCACACCCTCCATCACTTCCAAGAAAGTGGATAAAAAGGCATGAGTATCCTTTCCAGGTCAAAACAACATAAGCCAAATGTCACCTGTGCTGGATGAAGGTGCTGATATTAAGACAAACTTGTGCATCTTTTTTCAGGTATCTATTTTACTTATACCCAAATTAATGATGTGTAAACATTTATAAAATGTATGAGGTGGTTTTAAAGGTTTATGTACTGTAATTAATCACATGGCCTTGAGATTAATACCATTTAAGATGGTCATCAACTTTGGTCACATAAACATGTTTGTATGGTATGGCTCCCCAAAAGATGGATCTGAACTCACTGACAATATATTTCTTTGATAAAACACAATGTCTGCATACAGATGCCCCAAACAAAGGAAATATGTCTTATAAAAAAACACGCCAATGGACAATAAACTAGCATTTTATTTTATGCAATGGCCAAATATATGTTTAGATGCAATTCTGAAGGAGAAAATAGGTATGATTGACCTTGGTTTTATTAATACAACAATATTTTCATTTCTATTTATAAAAAAAATCACCTATTTAAAAAGAAAAATTAGATGTTGAGTACCATTTGTTTCCTGCTAGACACCAGTGTTGGGTTTTGCCAGGACAGGGCAATTATTCACAACCTGACCTTGACAGAGATTAATCAACTAAGGACAACAACAAATGAAAGTAAAAGAGATCCAAATAAATTGACAAGTCAATACTGAAAAAATACAGAATCAATTATCATCAAAAAATTACAAACTGACAGAAAAAAAGCAGGTAAAATTAGGAAAGGTGTAGGAAGTACAGCAATTACTTGATCTTTTGGGCAAAAAATGATAAATTTTTCAGATTCATAACTTTGAATGTAAAAAAATTATATTTCTATATTGCATTTGTGGTATTTTTACTGCATAGCATATTAAAATAGAGGAGTGCTTTTTAGCTTTTTAATTCCGTTGCCACTACTCAATTAGAATGTTCTAATTATAAGAATTTATGACTTGAAAAAAAATGCAGTATCTGTTAAATTCATAAATTTCCTCCACTGAGAAGACCGAGTCATTACCTTAGTTTACAATCATCATACATATTTTACACACGCACACAAAAACACACACACTTTTAATCCATTTATATCCAAATAAAATAATAATATGTAAACAAGGTCACACAATCATCACAATATATGTACAGTGTATATTATGTCTCCCATTTTTCTAAATGTGAGGCTATGTTCACTACAGTAGGTAAGGGCATCATCAACAAAGCTTCAATGTGAGCATACAAAACGCGGCAAGACAGTTCCTCTGGTTTAGCTTGCAATTGGCCAATGAGAAGACAACTCTGCAGGCAGGTAGTTTTCACAAAAGACAAAAAAGTAATTAACCTCTCAAATGATACTTTAACTGTAAAGTATTGCCCTCTTTGGATCCACCCTGTTCTGAGTACAGGGTCACTTAAACCTGAGACCTCATGATAGATAGTGAAGGAAGTAAAGACAACAACATTCTTTCAGAGTGACTTCATGTAACAAATACACAGTGTACTGCACAAGACTGAACTGTCACAGACATCCCTAGATAAATGTGTGAGAACATGTTAGAAAAAAAATAGTGACAAAAAAAATTGCATAGGCTTTGTTTTGTGTGACAGTCTGACAAATGAATCGACAGTCCTGATGATGAACAAAAATAAGCATGTATAACACAACACCTTACCACTGTTCATTCTTATGTTAATTTAAAAGTTTTGGTAATTGTATCATAATGATGCATTGTATTCCTTCTTTTGTTAATGTTCTAAAATCTTTGCAAACTTAAACAAGTCTAGATCTAAAACACACCAGTAAAAGACTAGAACATAGGTAATCATCTTCAATTTCAGCAGCATGAGAATAAAGTTAAACAGCAAGATTGAACAGAATGGAGATCTATGAGACTTAATAAATGAATGGTGTTAAAGAAATTAAGATTTAAACTCACTATGATTGTAGCTACAACATAAATCGACTTTAATTTGAGAACTTTAATATATTAAATGGCAAACTGACATGCATGTGTATATGAGAGAGGAAATGGTTAACATGTTTCATTGCAAATAAATAAATGAATAAAAACTATCTAGAAAATAACTTTATTTTCACTGGAATAATAGGTATTTTTCAAACGTAACATGCTTTTGAATGCAACTTAAGCTTACTTCACATCTGAAAAAAAAAGGTAAAGCAAGTCATGGGTCTTCATACTCATTGTCTTTTATATGATTGTGTGAATTTTGCAAATGATGTTACCTTGTGAAATCCAGAAGGATGTCTGGTAAGGATATCCATGAGCCAGCTGTGCACACCACTGAATATATGTGGGCAGTGCCGATTACTCCAGACACAGAACTGCTCATAGGTCATGCTGTCACGGGAGCCAAACTGAAGAAGAATATTGTTTACTTTAATTAATCATTATTCATGTAGCCCATTGAGTTTCCACTGTCCTACACACAGTAAAGCCTGAGGCAAGAAGTGTGGATTTAGCATAAAGGTTATTGAAATGAGCATCAATGAAATTTAATCAAATCCCCTCAAGTAAGAAACATCAAGTTTGTATTCCAAGTGTAAGTGTGCTTAAGAATTAACAGCTTAGATTAATTCTTATTGGTGAATAAATTACAACTACTGACATCCCTTTCAGCATTCCTTTTGACTAAAAAAGACAACAAAGACAAAATGTTCATGCCAGTCTTGTTCTCAGATGCATAGTGTCAAGAATGTTGCTGCATTTTGATCCAGGCCATTGTATATAAACCTCTTTTTTTATTGACTACATATGCCTAGGGGTATTTTGATGAGGAACAGAAAACAGCAAACAGGCACATTCTTCCTGGCATCTTTTCATGAAATAGCAGCTAATAAGACAATTATTTTGTAAATCTTCTTTCAAAATGCTACTCAGTGTCACTCTTCATACTTGTTATAGCTACCACTTTTTAGTTAAAAAAATTACTTCAAGGTGTTAACTCATCTTTTATTTTTGTTTGGCTGTAGATTTAATGCAAGAAAACATTTTCTACATATGTAGTCTTGGTAGAATTATTCAGTTTTTCACAAACAAACACCTCATCATAAAACCATGCAAACCAGCATATAACCAACAGGTTCATGTTGAAATTAGTAGTCTTGATTTCTCTCCCAATTCATTCTTATTCAGTGTCCTTACCATGCTCTTGACAAGTGCCTCCAGGACAGGATCATCATCTTCACATTTATGGTAGGGAAGGTGTGCAGCAGCCAGTGCCAGTGTATATGACACCTCCACCATTTGACGACCATCTGGGAATAAGCAGATGAAAAGTATAAACACTATAAAGGAACCATGATAAAAGGACTCTTTAGTAATCAAGGCAGGGAGGCAAACTGAGAGATAACTGCAACATAAAACATCCCTCTGACCACATGGTTTTTTATAGAAAAAGTGTATTTTTTTAAAAAACAAAGCACAAAATACACAAAATCTTAGCAAGTCTTACAAATCCCTGGAGTCGTTCTCCTTGAAACACGAGTCTAGGCCTTAACCTCTAACGACACCTTGACAATTAAACTTTAATGTCCCTTGTTGCTTACACATTCCTGAGTTACATTATAACAGACACTTGTTTAAAAATCACCTTCTTTGGCAAGTGTATCTCTTCCTTTACTGAATAGCTTAAAGTAGTATTTCATGTGTTGTTCTTCAGAGAACAGTTGCAGTATTTCTTTGCAGACTTTCTTGAACTGCTGTTCACTGATGTGTTCTGGAGCATCATGGCGGCTCTTCTCTGCTTGCTGGATAGTGGAAAACAGCAATTTGCCCAGAGTCTGCAGTGGCCCATTGAATGCTTTCTGCAACACATCATGACATCGTCAGTAAACACATAATAAAATTATTACTTGTGTCAGTGACTTAAGTTAAAAGTAAAAAATGAACATGATGACAAATTGACCCTCACAAACTGACAAAGACCTACTCCTTCAAAAAAAAAAATCAAATGTAAAAAATGCATGCATACTTATATATTGTAAGTGGCTAGTGTACTTATGAAGATTTCAGAAATTGTGAATGCAGTGCTGACACAAGGAAAAAAGCTGTATTCATCACGACACTACATTAAAAATTTCAACATATCCACATCACTTATATATTTCTTAAATACCATTGTACATCTTATAGGTACATATGATTATCCATAAATGGCAATAAAAACACAAAGACATTAGGACTTACATATTACTCATCTGTAAAAAGACATGACACAACTTAAAAATGTAAGCAAGTCATGCTCTTATATATAACTTGAATCATAAACTTAAGTGATACAATAATAAATTGCACTGCTCCCATGTTATGACACTTTAAAATCTTGCTTTATGAAGGCAACGGAATTTAGGGCAATGGTTTACATTTCTTCATTATCCTTTAACAAGTTCAACAACTATGCCAATGCCTCAATAATAAACAGGACTTTTAACTTAATTTAAATGACTGTGAACAGGACTTTCAAGAGAATACATGAAGAAGAAAAAAGCCTTCCTTGAACCCCATCACACAAAAACTAAGTGATGTAGAAGAATTAAATAAAACATTTACAAAATTTCCTAGTGGCAAAATTTACAAAATAAGTCATTATTCTTTTGAATTGTGAAGTTCATTCAAAAAAAAAAAAAAAAATTGAAAGAAAAGAAAAGCCTTATATACATTTTTTTCTTAAATACTCCACATAAACAAAAGAAACATTCCCTTCCATTTCTTATTTGATTAATTGTTCTAACTCCTTTTCAGAAAATCTAATAATGTTGTGAATTATTCTTAAATAGTTCCCCATCAGAATGCCATTATATCAGAAAAAAAGTTTACTTAGTACCTCAAAAACTGCTCTGGAAACTAAACCCTCCTTGATGCTAGCATTATCTTGCTTTGATTCAATCTCCAACTTCTGTAAAAAATAATAAAAACACAAAACTGAAGAATTGTATTTAAGATTATTAAGGTTATCAGTCTAATGCCATCGAATGCCCATTCAATGTGGTTTCTTTCATCTGGACTCAAATGGTATTTAATCTCTCAGTCTCATTTATTTATTCTGTTTTGAAACAAAATACTACAAAGTTCTATTCGTTCTTTTATAATTAACAGCCAAAAATGTATGTGAACACAAGTAAAATGCTACCATCTACTAGTAAGTTCAGTTACTAAGATCAATGCAATTCCTGCCTCTGCACTAAACACGAGGCATTCCCATCAGTGCTGCACCTTTACGTACCCTACTCATACCCTGCTTCCTTCCAAGCAAATTAAGCAAACATTATTAGCCAGTCAAACCTGACCTCTACCATAACTGTTAGTACAGTTTTCCCTTCATGCAATCAAGGAATTTTATCTCTTGAACCTACTTGATGCAATAAACCCAATTCCATATCTAAAAACTGGAATCAACCAGTTAATGACTTTATCTCACTCACTTACATATACATATACGTACTAAGTTGTCACCAATTTGTCTCCTACCTTCATAAAATCATACAGACATTGGCGATCAATACAGTAGCTGGGGTAGTTAGATTCCATCCCACAACCAGTGTACTGCATACGAATAACGTGCTCAGTTTTGGATCTTCGGAGCTTAGATATTGGCTTAGAATTCACCAACAGATTTTTCAAATCACTTGCTGACTTGTTGCTAACTTGGGATAGAGATCTTATCAAAGCTGGCTTGGAAGACATTAGGTTATGATCAGGCTTCACTGGAGAAGTTTGACAGTGAACATCACCCTCCAACAGGTTTCCTGTAGTATTACCCATAGTGGACTAAAGTGATGCACTGAGCTGCCAGCTATGATAATGCGACTAACTCTCCTTGTCTGAGCACTATATACTGACCTCCCCTGTCCCAGCCACCACGTGACTATAGGTTAGATCTCGCCATGAATCATGAATGGCACAGGTAGGCAAGGATTTACAGGTCTTACTTGACTGATAGCAAATAATTGTCTTTGCCTAAAAATCTTTCAAATGATGTAAAATGCAGCAAACTGAATTTCTTTTCCTTTTTTTAAATCTATATTGCTCAATTTAATCACAAAGTCATAGAAAACAAGAATATCAATTTGAATAGACAATTTTTTTGTTTAATACATGAACATGCATGTATATAAATTACTATGCTAAAATATATTACTAATCCAGACATAAATCTTATACTAGCCAAACAAAACATCATGTACCACTGCTCAGAAAATGACTACATCATTGTGGTCATATAGTGCATTTTACTCTATAGGTAGGAAAGTCTGCTTCAGGTAATTAAAATGCCAAGGTCACTCTAATGACAGCACTTCCTTAATGAATGATCATTTAGGGTGCATTCCCAGAGATTTAGATCAATCCAGAGACTTAGATCAACCTAACTCCCTGGGGGTTCACGCTAAATTGCAGTCAGCCGAGCGCGCACCGTAGTTTATTACCCCCTTACAGCTTTTAGTAGGCGGGACAGACGCTTAAGCCGGCTAAGCTGACAGTAATCTAGTGAGACTACCCACAGGGATAGATCGATCTAAAATCTATGGGAGTGGGATCTAAGGATGCTTTCCCAGAGATTTAGATCCACCTAACTCCCTGGGGGTTCACGCTAAATTGCAGTCAGCCGAGCGGGCACCATAGTTAATTACCCCCTTACAGCTTTTAGTAGGCGAGACAGACGCTTAAGCCGGCCAAGCTGACAGTAATCTAGTGAGACTCCCCACAGGGATAGATCAATCTAAAAATCTATGGAAATGGGATGTAAGTAATAATGTGAATGGGATATGCCTGTGCACTAAATGGAAAACTTTTAGATGTGATCACAATTATCCAACCTACAAGTTGTCAGAAATCAAACATGCGAGTTGTTGTGAAACAGGTAGATCTTCAATCTGTTATATGTGCAAACCTCTAAAACATCAAAACAACTGCACACCATAAATTCTGCCTTGTACAGACCAATCTCAGATTGTGCTAGAGAAGCTTGTGTGACAAATACCCATTTCCAAATACATACCACGGGGCTGATATCTAAACAAAAGGATTGCAGGGACTGATACAATGAATGAGACGGTGTGACTGCCACGTGCGAAAGATGGGCAGGAAATCAGCCAACTACTCGCAGAAAACCACTGACCTATGTCTCTGTCAATACACATGCAACCACAAACCATTCACGCAAATGAAAATGATTGGACGGTGACCGCAATTAGGCAGTAAACGCGGGGAAAGTCCATTCTTTGATATCACCCCATGCGCGGTGATATCAGCGTGTTCTATTCAAAGTTAGGGGGTTTGGCTGGCGCTCGGCATGCTATCATGATATCGGGCGAGGGGGTAACAGTGCATTATTTACTACATAAATGCAAATTCCAGCTGACCAACCAAGCTCAACCCAAGCATCCATGTACAAATACACAATTAAACACATGTTCCACTTAAAATATCATAAATGCATGTGTAGAATTAAAAAGGATAGATTTTATTTGGAATCTCCCATGACTGCTGCCTGTCCAAAGTACTTTCCATATGGATTTTTGTCATGTTTTAAGAATTAAAACTTGTAGATTTTAATTCCAATTTTCAGCACTTGGGAGAGGATCAAATTTATTAATAAAGAATTTATCATCCATTCCAGATAATGCTATATCATGTATATAATTTGATGTATAATTATTATAGTTTTTCATCAAATCAAATTTCTACTCCACCACATTATCAATCCTTATTTCATATTTTCACAATTTCAGAAGTAATATACCACAAGGACAATCAAACAAGAGTGTACAAAATGATAAGCTCTTCTGTCCTTCATTCTATTATTAGTTAATATTTACCTACATTGACTAAAACAATTTAGTATTACAGGAAATGTTGTTAAAAAGGCAAACATGAATGAGGTTTTTTGGCTTCATGTGTATGTACTTCATGTTGTAATAACCTATGAAAATCCAAAGTGGTGCAATTTGTCTTTTCAAGGGGCAATCTGACTACGAGTGGTTATCTAAAAAGAAAATTATTTTAATATAAAGGTTGTCCCAATTTCATCTGGGTTTTCAAAAGAACTTCAATAGATAACTTCATTTTCAGCTTCTTTCCTCTTCAACCTGGATTAGATACATGACTGCAATTACATTCTACTAAACCATGTTTTGTGCTTTGGCCTGTGCTTTGCCAAACGAGTGACCTATCTCTCCTACAATATTTTTGTCATCATCACAATGACAGGTGGTTGTTGAACTGACTCTTTCTCTTGCTACACAAATTCATCATAAATTCACAATTCAATCAAATATTCTATGTGGTATATAACCAGGATGGGACTCGGCCATCAGAATCTGCATTTCTGAATCCCCAAGACCTCAATCCACTTTTGTCCATCTTCCTCTGATCCTCATTACATGCTATTCTTGCAAATATTATAACATTTACTCTAACCTTTATGTCATCTCAGATATGTACCACTTGACTGCAACCATACCCTTGAGAAATATTTTAGAACTCATGTTTTATACCAGGTTATTAAATGAAGATATGGAACATAATACTTTACTTATAAAGCCAATTGCATGTCAAAATACTTCAGTCATTTATACCCTTTGCTTCATGAACAGAAGACAATAGTCACACCTGCACATATTTTTTTGTTATGAGACATTTTGACAAATGCTAAAAAAAAAGCCCATAATTTTTCTTACAATGTTTTTTACTTTTTTTCTTTGAAGGTCAAACATTTTTTTTTCGTTTTGGTTTCTTTACATGTAAGCCAACATATTTAAAAATGCATAAATCCCACAACTTTATTCTATAACTGGTTAAACTATGTAAGCCATTATTAAGTATAGGGATAATGAACATGATAATTATTTAGTTTTTCATATATATTTTTATATTCATATCAAGATGTTGGTGACGATCTTTTTTATTTCATTGATCAATAATATCTAAACTGATGGCAATTTTCAAACTTGCTTCCAGCTTTTTTTTTTCCAAATGAGCATACTACGTAAATGACACTGAAAGTTTTGCTGAAACAATAAAAAACAGAACAAGTTTCATAATATTAAACTTGGTAGATCTCAACAATACTGCTCTGCTCATGTTCTGCTGGTATTCAAAAATAGAAGACAAAAGCAACAAGTTGCTAATAAATTTTTCTTTGAAAAATATACACCAAGCAGGCTTTGGGGAAATATGATAAAAACATGTTGTAAATTATGTAGGTTGTGTTATACTCAAAGCAACATAACAGTCCTCCTACTGGTATATTTCTAAAATAAAAGTTGTAATGAAATGCAACATTGTAAGAAGGAAAGGGTTTAGTTATGTTGACAAGAACTTGTTGTAATAACAATTGGGAATCAGTTCACATTTCATTATATTCCAACTTCTCTCCCTGGATGTATTATCCAAATAGTTTTGGAAGCTGGAAAGAAGTCAGGCAGATAAAATGACCACCTGACATTGTTTTAGAGTTCAAAACAGTTATGTAATAGAGCAAAATATGATGTAACCATATGTACCTAATATTGTGTTATTTCCTCTGGGTTAAAATTGCTTTAAAATGTGCCAATGCTCATTAGTAACTTTAACCTCATATATAAATGGAAATAAAGTAAAAAAAAAAATATATATATATATATATAATATGTATTAATATAAAATATATTATTATGTGCTATCGATAGAAGAGTCATCAACAAGAATCAATATTCCTAGAAATGTGAAACGCCCCATGCGACAAACTGTTTTACATGGACTAGGTAATTGTGTTGGTGACATACCCCATCAAACACAACTAGCGCAATTACATCTTTTCCTACTGAAAATAAAAGATCTACAACAAATTATTTTTTCTACTAGAATATCTATATTTACACTTGTTAGTCCCAAGACTAATAAGAGTTACTCATGCAGAAACCTCTTTGTAGATTGGTATATATATTGGTAAAATACATGTTTTATATCAATAATATTATATGCAAAGATAATTTACCTGATGAGCTTCTGGGTCTTGTGATACAAGTAACTATAAATGAAACAAAACTGAATTCAGTTCTTTGTTTCACAAACTAGTAAGTGAATAATGTTTTGAGGCCACTGGCTTTTAAAAGCATGTCCACTTTACAAAACAATTCACATTTTCTCAGATTTATCCTGACCAATCTATTTTTTCGCAAGATTTTCCCTGTATCATTGCCCATCAATAAAATTTTCATTTTCTTAGATGCTTCTTCTATCTTGCCAGGATATAAAAGGTAATAAGATCATACCTCTTAAAAAGCTATACACTGTTTATCAAACTTTAACTACGAGTATTAAAGGTAACATTATCAAAATCGAGTTTCATTCATATACATGTAACTAAAGCATTTAAACATAACATATGAATTAACAATAACCATAGAAAAAATTAACTGAAATTTACCAGCCAATATTTTGTATGCTGAAAGTTAAAATTTTTAAGGGAAATAAGGGCTGTAATAGATATAATATTACAACCCATCACCCCTCAGGTGTGTTGGTTCGGTCAAGTGCCCCCTCCTCTGCTTGTCCCTTTCTCCCTGGAGAATTGAAAATTGAGGCTGGTCCAGTCCATCATTTCTATTGTGTTTAGCCAATGTAGTCAATAACTGTGTGCCAAATCAGCTACTAGTAGCTACTGCATGGTACAGTATGATATTTTTTGAAAATTTTCAAGACTCATAGGGTACACAACCTGATCCCAACAGATACAATGTAGCATACTGTATCCAGCACTGCTAAAATGAATCATGAGAACAGCATAATAGGCAAATAAATTTGAATGCTGGGGTAAGGAGGCACGTACTTATATGCCCTTAATAATTGTTGAAATATAGGTACAATATCACAGAGGTGGAATCATTTTTGAGTTTAATCACATCCTGTCTGACCTATGTGCACACCTGTAGCACTCCCTTGGCCTTCTGTCTATTGTGCTGCACTGTCTGCACTGCCAGCTGACCCAGTGTTATGCCACGCTTAACAATGTCCGTGTTTAAAATCAAAACAAAACCACTCGGGCAAAGCAGTTATTCACTTGTCCTCAACTGTACTAGTAAATTTGCAAGTGGTTAAAATATGTATGTGTTAAAACACGGGTATAAATAAGTGATAGTTGATCTCTTCAATATCTACACGGTAATTTTTCTTGGACATGCTCAAGGAAGTTACTCAAAATTGCCTAAAATTTCTTCAGCAAATACTGAAAATGTTGTGGACATACGTCTAACTTCGTAAATGCGAAGTTGTGAAAGCCGCAAGACAAACATGTTTACAACTAGACAAGACAGTGTCTACTACCGGGGATGAATGATCAAACAAGTGAGCATTATCATTATAAACATTTCACAATCAAGATACAATCGAGGTGACACTACCAGTACATCTTATACTATTAACATTGCTATACATAATTGAATGATAGAATCGGCGTGCGAACACTTATCGTTAGGATATTACCTTGAAAAGACTTTCCAGCAGCTTGTCTTCTTGTGAAAAATGCTTTTCTGAAGACTGTTTTTCACTTTTTAACCCTGATTTATCCACGTGATGTCGATGGTGATTTCCACTGTGATGCGCACCCATTTTGCTTATGTTGTGTGTGATGCGTGCGCTTGGAAAGTCCTTGACCTTGTCAACTCCACTTTAGTGCCATAATGTATCCCAGCATTCCGTCACCGAGCCTTTTTACGCGGAGTAGTAATCGAAATTATGTCAAAATGTAATCAGAACCTTTTTAAGTCTCTTAAGTTTATCCACTCATTAACATACTACATAGCTTATTTTCTTTTTGCATAAGATAAAGCATTTTATGCAAGAAAAAACGGAATTCAATAAATATGATTCATGACCTAATTTTAACAGCGCATGCTATTAGATGTTAACCGGCTTCATCTGGGAGTGGGGAGAGAAAATCCTTTTCTATGTGATTCTTAAATAGTAGCATTATTTACGTTCGTTTCAAAATGGCTTGCTGTAAGAAAAGAAAGTGTAGTACCAAAGCTATTCCAGCGACGTGTGCCTGGTCCATTCTTCTTGGAGCAACAGCATGTTTCTTCATTTTCGCGTGAGTAATGTCAGTCTATGACTCCTGTAAACCACTGCGTTGAACAGGTCTTCCTTATTTTTTGGCCAGATTGGGTTTCTGGGTTTACTTATTTTATGACCATTAATTCCTTTTAATGTTTGAATAATACCTTCTGTTAGTGGAACCAATGACAAGAGAGGCTATGGTTTAATATCTTGTATCTTAATGACCCTGTAATCAGCACATACCAGCAGTGTACCTGAGGCTCCTGCTTGACTATGCATAACATGTCAGATGTAACTTCTGGCCTTTATTTAGCTGTCATTGAAAAAAAAAAAAACACTCATGCACTCGCGCGTGCACGCACACAGACACACACACACACACACACACACACACTACATAACCATGATAAATTGCATCAGAGCTTACAATTAAAAAACATGCCCTTGGTTATATATATATCTGCGCGTCCAGGATACTGTGTACATTATGGAAAAAAAGCTTTCAGAATAGTATTGTCATGTTTTTTGATCATCTCAGGGATCAATTACAGCATACACAATAGAAATATACAAAAATTGTGCTTCGGCACAAATTTTGATTGGTGAAGAAAGTAGGTTATTGTGCGTAATCATCGTTTCGTTTTCATCTCCAGTACAAAGTTTGATCTCCCATACACGTGAACTTTACGAATCATTCAATTTCAAGATTTTAATACCTGAAATATACTCTGCTTTTCAAAAACCAACAAGGTGTAAGGAAATCCTGTCATCTTAGTGTGTAATCACAAATATTTTGACCCAATCTGGTTTCGTTTCCCAGAGAGACACAATTCAGCAAAACCTCATCATGTAGTTTTGTTTCCTCATTTAGATTCTGACCAGGGACATAGCGTACACTGTTGAAATCTTCGTTTATGTCATAATGACCCGGTCACATTAATATTAAATGAGAATAATTAAATGAGCTATATCTAGTTCCTGCTTTTGGTTGTGCAATGCACGCAAGCCAATTTCATACCTTTTTAACCTGTTTAACTGCCAATTTTTGATCGCAGCGTGCTTTCCTAATTCTGTGAAGAAAAGTGTACTCTTCCTTGATAATTTTATGTGTGTTTAATGTTACATTTTCCAAATTTATGAATATAAAGCAAAATGCAATGCATACTCTAATCCGAAAGCGTGCTGGCACCATGTTGAAATTTTGATTTCCATGTCACATTGTTGTTACCCAGTATCGTGGACATGCAGATATTTCCTTTGCCAATAACAATTTGAATTGCATCTGGTAAATTATCTTATATTTACATTTCCTATATTTCCCTTGCATATCTGCAAGATATTTTCCTACAAATAATATTAAGTAAAGAAATCAATTTTGAGTAATATACAGTTATACATGGCATTAATATTGGTTTCTTATGTGAAAGGTCCTTCAGTCAGTGCAGAATAATGAGATCCATTTTGTGAAGCTGTGATATGTGCACAGTCAGATAATTTTTAATGTAGAATATTACAATACATTGATTTGATCAGTTAAATGAACATATGTCAGAATCATGTACTCTGAAGTGCCAAATAATAGTGTCGCGGCTCTGCATTGCAAAAAAGTATGTCAACCGATAGTACACTACTAGTACAATGCTGCCAACGTGTTTTTAATATAATCTCTAATTGCCATTGCAATTATTCATTGAAATTATTAAATTTGATAAAATTTTCGGGGGGGGGGGGGGGCACAATTATTCTGCTAGGCACTATTATTAATTTTGGAAAGTTTTCCGAGGGCCACAATTATTCCAGTTGGCACTATTATTCAGCACTTCAGAGAAGTCTTTTATGTTTTTGATGTCATTTACCTTTGCTCTGGTACTGTAGTATCTGAAATTTTATTTAATTCAACAGAAAGCTTAAAACAAGTAAAACTTTTAATCAGAAAAAATGTGTTTATTCACAAACTTTAACTCTGGTATAAATATGGCATTTTTATAAACTAAAATGATCAATAAGACTAATTAAATAAAACCTGAAGTTGAATTATTTTGCATATCAAACTGAGTGTAGGATTTTAAACATGTTAAATACATAAACTTCTTCATTTATAAAGGAAGACAAGTAATACTTTTTGATCATAATTTTAACAGGTACATGCCATTAATTAATATTGCAAAAAAAAAAAAATATATATATACCACCTCATGATGAAATATGCTGCCAGAACTTAATGCAATCCAGTACTTAATTTTTATGCAAGAATCAAGCTTGAACGGATTGGCAGAATTTTTAAAAAATTATATTTGCAGAGATATTTTCTGCTTTCTTTCTATGTTTTTAATAGATACAACTAGATTTATGATTATGCACTGCACACACAGTTCTATATTATTTATGGGACTTTCGCAAACTGGAAGGACAGATTAGTAGATTGATTTCTGACCAGAAATTTGAAGATAATTAAACATTATACATATTAACAATTGCTTTAGAGCATTGACTATAAATCACACATTAGGGAATTGAATGTGTAATTATGAGCCATGTACTTATCACTTTTGACTATCCAAAGCAAATGTTCTTCTACAGGTAAGAATCTGTCTGTTTTATGAATGAAACTTTTGCACAGAACCAAATTCCAATTGATTTACATACAGCTAAAATTGTCAGATGGACATCAGAGGTTTTTAATCTCAGATGAATTGATAAGATACATGTTGTCAATATTTGGAACTGGAAAATATGATGATTGCTTCCTGTGTTTATCACATCGTTAAGACAGAAGTGAGAATTTTGCAAAATGTACCCATAATTAAACTAGTGCCACCAAACAGCAGGATAGGAGAGCAGTATCATCTCTTTGACAAGGCTCGCAAACTGCAAAACTGCCCATTTTAATCAGTTGTAACATTTACCAAAGTTTATTGAAAAAAAAAACATACATATTGTTGCATCACATTGCCACTTTCTCTATCCTTAAAATAGATATCTATTGATCCAGACTTGTTTCAATTGACTAAGCACATACTTTATAAAAAAATGTGTGATTATGAGAAATTGTATAAATCATGATTATGTTTAAGTTCTTAAGAAATAACCCTATTAACCCATTCTTCATTTTTTATCTATATAGATAGGGGAAATGTTATGAATTGTAAGATGATTTAACAACTTTGTTTTATTTTATTTTTCAGCTCTGAATATTTTGTGATGAACATCTCCCCTCTGATCATTGTGTATGAAAGCTTGGTGGCAATCTTTGTTATATCCAATTTTGGCTTGGCAACATTCATGGATCCAGGAATCTATCCCAAGGGTAAATAATTCATTTATATCTTAACTGGCATGCTTTGAAAATCTCTGCACAGAAATTTGAGTTTCTGCTTGCCAGTTTTAGACAAACTGTTACGTTTTATACTGGTCTGACAGGTTTTATTGCCAGAATCTTCTATATAATTTGAATATGGACAGGGCTTTGTTTTTCAGGCATGACCTTTTCTTTAACCCACAAAGCTTTTTTGTTTGTATGAAAACTGCCAGCCAGACAACATTATCTCATTATGCACAACTATCAAGCAGTCATAACCTCCACGCAAACTGGTTAATAGGCGTCAGAAGTTAGCAATGTTTGTTCATGTTTCTTCTCAGATATCTTAATAAAAAACTGACCCCCCCCACACACACACACACACACATACACACACACACACACACACACACACACACACACACACACATATGGGCAGGGAGGGAAATGGGCGGTCGCCAGTCGCGACCGCTAAAACGAATTGGCGAGTGCCAATCTTAGTAACTGGTCCAAACGGGCGACTGCTCTATAAGCAGCAACAACATGAGAAAAATACGGGGTTTTTACTTGTCCTTAGATATTTTTCCTTTTTTTTAAAATCCGCTCCCAATTTTGTCTGCATCGAAGACTACGCGAGTTTCAGATGTGTTGACCTATTTTAATGACGCTTCCGAACACGTCAGACGTTATTTGCATGCGACCTGACCTCTTGCATCAGACTGTCAATTTTGACCAATCAGATTTTACCACAGCATTCGCGCCATATGAAGTAGCAGAGCCTCGAGGATTGAAAAGCTACGTATGCAACAAACCTTTTTGGTAAAAATACTAATTTACTCGAGTGCTGTTTTGTAGTTTTGAAGGGTAAATATAATTCTTTAAATGGTTTCTGGTCTTTTTCGATGTCAATAGCTTATAGTTACATTCAAGATTTTACAAGAAACGTTACTTTTCCTGTTGGGGCCATTAGCATGCTGCCGAAATATTTTCTCATTGGAAATTAAATCAAAACTACATTTAGTGTGTGAATTGAATTAGTTCAACTTATCTTACAATTTTATAGCGATGTGGAGGTTTTTGCCTGGAAAAACACCGACAAATGACGAAAGCGAACAACCTAGCACTAAATGTAAAAAAAAAAAAAGAGAGCTCGGGTACCTTCCTTTATAACAGCTACGGATTTTTGAGGAAAATAAAAAAGGCGAGGATTTTTTGCTCCGTTTTATGGTTATATTTCAACTTTTGAGACTTTGAAGTCACTTCCTATTTTGTGTTAATACAATGGGTGTTAACCCATTGTTCTAATTCCAAACCTTGTTTGGGTAAACAGTTTACCAGAGATTAATAACTCCTTTATATTTTTTAACCTAATAGTTAAAATACTTGATTCCTATTGTGTAATGTGGTGTCATTTCCTTTAACCATAAAAGGTGGGGAGAAAAAGCTGTTTAGTTTTTAAAATGTGAATAAATGTTGATGAATTTTTGGGAGTTATTTGGTTGATTTCAATTCTTTTAAATAAGTTCAAAATAAAAACATGAAAATTAAACTTCATTTGCTTTATTTTATTGGCGCATTTTAATAATAATTTAAAAAAAAAACGAAGTTGCTCAGTATGTTAAAACCATCCACCCCTTTTAGATTCTTTCATAATTGGACCAGTGCCCCAAGGCCTAGGACCACTACCTCCAGAGTCAACTGGTCCAAGTGGACCAGAGCTGAAAAATTCCCATTTCCCTCCCTGTATGGGCCTGTACGCCTCACACAATATGCCCCTCAAAACTGACTCGTACAACTATATGGTAACCATGGGTTTAGCCAACTGTTTACCATCCATAAGAGAGGCTGTACTCTGCTCAAACAAGCCATCCCAATGATGGCTGGATGCCCTGGTGGCTAAACCCTTGATAATAATCAAACTTATGTTGACATTCCAACAGACTGGAGGCTCTACATCACTTTTCTAAGGTACTGTGCTTTGTGCAATTGATTTGTGCCCAAAATGGCAACTTGTAAGGAAGGAACTGCTCTGATTTTGTGCCTAACTAAAATTTTCTCTCTACATCTTTCTTTAAGTTCTAAAAAAATGAACTAGGAATATAGACATTTGGGTGTTGAAAACCCTCAGTTGCTACAAATAATTCAGTTAGGTCAAGAAAAAAACCTTATGATTTAACTTAAAAAAGCTTCTTAAATGAACAATTTCATACACACACAACATAACATGATCCTTCCCCTTCAATGGCTTAGATGTGATTGTTTCATCTTGCATTAGCCTTCCTATTTGCTTTTCTTAAAAATTGGCACATCCACGTTTGTCCTTTTTCTCATCTTCCAAGAAGTGGTCAACTGTCTGAAAAAGTTCATTTATAAAGTGTTCTTTCTCAGGCCTTGTGTTTGACTATTTCAGAATTAAGGAGAATAGATTAGTCTTATCATCAGCTTGGTAGTGCATTGGAGCAATCGACCAGATTGTGAATCATTGGTCCATGCTGAATTCCTACAAGATTTGCATCAGTGTAGTCTTGAAGAGAAAAATGATTATGCCAGCATTTCTCGGTTATCTGTTTGTCTCATTGAATGGGTTGCTTTTTATTCTTGACCTTTTTTGCTCATGTATGGATCCTACAGGATTTGACTGGATGGTTTGAGCTTTAGGCAGTCGTTTCATCTCACCCCAATTTTGAAGTATTGTGTAGAATACAGCAACATTTGCCAGTTATTTAGTATAACAGTTGTACTCACAAAACATTTAAGTTGTTTTAATATGATGCATGTCAGTGAATGATTAACTTTTTCTGAAGGTTTGTCATTGGTTATTAAAGAGTTCCTGCTGATACAAAGAAAAAAATATGCATAATTTGCACATATTGGCTTTTTTATTTTGCCATACTCAATCTATCTGAGAGGATCTAATTTTAGTATCAATACATCTCTTAAGTTAACTCTGTTTTTAGTAGAACAATATGATGTAGGGATTTATTAAATAAAGAATTGCTACTCATTTAATGAATGCCAGTATATAGATCTATAAATGCTTCCTTAATTTATATCTGTCGATAAAGTATTGTTGTCTTTAAGTACAGCAGCATGTTTTTAATATAACCAATATTGAATGTGAGTGGCGCAACTTCAGTTTACTACATGTCTTGTACTGAAACATTCAATGCTTAAAAAGAAAAGAAATGAGTAAAAATTTATTTCTAGAAAGATAAGAATGTAAACATTGTCCAGATATGACTTGAGAGCTTTGTGGTAATTTGTTAGAATGTTTTTGTTACAGCTCATGAAGATGAGACAAATGAGGAAGATTTCCGTGCACCATTGTATAAAAATGTGGAAATCCATGGGATCACGGTGCGGATGAAATGGTGTACAACTTGTAACTTTTACCGTCCTCCAAGGTGCTCACACTGCAGTGTCTGCAACAGATGCATCGAGGTAAAGAGTTCTGAAGTTGAATGTAATCAGATCTGTCTTTGTATCTTGCAACAGTATCTCTCTTTTCTTTCACAAATCTAGTGAGAGACAGCTCTTTCCCCTTCACATTTCATGACTTAAACATGAAAGTTGTGCGTGTGTTAGCAGTTGAAATGTAACCTTATAATTCCATTTCAAATGTCGCTTCTTCAGAAAGGTTCCCGTGATGTTTATGAACAATATATAGTAGAGCTTTTTATATTATAGTGCTACATAATGGTACATCTTTGTCAAGATAATTAGTTAGAAGGTACTGGATATATGACCACTTAATCAGATGTCTTGGAGATTTAACAGAGAGAGGGAGAGATGCCCCTGCATTTGTCAATGACAGTGAGATAAAATGATACAAATTCATTTTTCTTCATTGTTCCATAAAAATACTATGGAAATTCATGTAAAATGGCATATGATACGTTTAAATAATCCATTTAAGCAGCTCTGTCTGTAATTAAGTACTAATGAAAAGTCCATTTGGTAATGCAAGTTTTGTTAAAAAAAAAAAAAAAGATGAAACAAAACAGTGATGGAAAAAGCTTTGCATTTTCTGGATTGCATCAAAAGTGTACAACCTCACAATTCAAAATTGTTTGATATTGTTGTTCCAGACTTTTGACCACCACTGCCCTTGGGTCAATAACTGCATTGGAAGACGGAATTACCGCTACTTCTTTCAGTTCCTTCTGTCCCTGACTGTTCACATGCTAAGTGTGTTTACATTCAGCCTGATCTATGTGCTGCATCACAAGGACAATCTTTTAACACCGCATAACATTGTTCTGTATCCTTTTGTGTCAAAATCAGAAAATGAAAGGAAATAATTACATCTTATTTAAAACTTAAAGGCACACATAGTAAAATTTTTGCGCCAAAATTAATATTTAACAAATTATCCCAGAGTAAACAGCACTTTCCAGTGATTATCCAACCTTTTATCTTTCTTTCCTGACATTCACCATAATCTGTAACAATTTTGGAAAAAGCAAAACCCATGTGTAAGCATTGGTTTTTGTAAGTATGGAGACCATTTTTATGCTTAAAGTCTTTAGACTTTTGGATATCGAGAGACTCGTGCTCTGACCTAGTTAAAACTAGTTCATGATGGTGGGAAAGGCATCATTGGAGAATAGGCTCAGGTTGGTCCTTCAGAGATGCAATGAAAGATAACAAATCTTCCTTGTTGTAACTACTTGTAGAGCTTATACCTCGCTTACCTGCGAAAGTTCTGTTAACATTTTCTCTACATACTCACATTCTCCAGTGCTGGAGTTCTCCATGTTTCTGTTTGTTTACATCTCGGATATGACTCGAGAACCAGCGTTATTTTAACCAGGGTTGGAGTGGAGACGGTGAATATATTGATTACGGCCATTTATCTGTCATTTTGTGTTTTAAGCATTTTAATTGTCCTCCGATAAGTTCAACAAGAAGCAATCAATGCACTTGGAATGCATTTTTAATCCTATTATTTGTGCCTTTAAGTTGGAAACAAATCTTCAGAAACCATGCCTACTATATGGGCATCAGTAACAAATTGAAAATTGTATAAATGTATAGTAGAGAAGGTAAAACAATAGTTGATGATAAAAATTTATCTTTAACCAATTTACTCAGTATGTGTGTCATGGTTATCATTGGGCTTCTGCTTTTTCCTGTTGCTGGATTAACTGGTTTCCACATTTGGTTGGTATCCAGAGGAAGAACCACAAATGAGCAGGTATCCCTTAAAGTACTCTTACAGGTTTAGCAAAGTTAGTTTTATAGGGATTAGTAATGGTCATAAAATCACTTCATACTTGCACAGTGGAATTTATGTATAGAGGTTGAAGAAAGATCATAATTTAATTATTAGTATTTTATTTGAGTATTTCCTTGGCTACATTTTTCAGGTCACAGGCAAGTTCCGTGGAGGGCACAATCCATTCTCTAGAGGTTGTGTGGAGAATTGTAAGCTTGCCCTCTGTGGCAGTATTTGGCCAAAGTAAGTATAAGGCTGAACAAGTGTATTAAATCTATATGTCTAATATCCAAACATAAGGTTGTTCAAAAAAGATTTTAAAAGAGAAATATACACACAGTTAATCCACAAACCCAAATCTACATTCCTTTGCAAATTCAGGATAAGTGCCCACAATTTGGCAATTGAAAAGGGGAGACACATGAATCCTAAAATACCCATAGAGAAAAGGCTATGCACGGTGTGCAACATGGGGTCAGTTGAAGATGAGTTCCATTTTATGATGATATGCCCCTGTTATGCTCCACTAAGAGTCATATTCCTTAACCAGGTTAAAGATATACTGGGCAGTGCAGCCCCTGAGTCCATCAGTGACCTTTTTATTACCGTACTGCAATGTAATGATTTTGATATTGCAAAATGCACAACTAATTTTCTTTATGATTGTTTTAAAGCTAGGGATATGAAAATTGCATCCATGCTGAATAAAACCTAGATTAACTGA